AGAGATGTAACTGAGAAACACCCAGCTAGGACAGAGGATGAGTCAGGGCTCCGGGACTCGATACCAATTTCTTCCACTCCTGCCAGGAAAATTCTGGGGTGAGACAGTGATGACAGGAGCCAAGGGGCGGGCCTGTCAGCTGCTACCCTGCGGCCTCTGCCTTGTGGTTTCACCCTGGGTTGCCCTGCAGCTGGAACGTGTCTCCTGACACGCAAGCCCTGAACACTCACTCCGTCCCTCCCCCTTTTTTCAGACCTTCACTTGTCTAGGAATCTCCAGAAGTGAATGTCTGTCGGAGGTGACCTGAGAGTGGAAGCCAAAGGCAGAGCTGGGCGGGAACGTGGCAGTTGGGAAAACACAAGGCAGAAGAAAAGAAGGTTTCCATGAAGGCGTGAGTGGAAGTAGAAATGTAATTCACCTCCCTGAGAACCAAGGTAAAGGACAGAGGAGCAGCCTGCTTAGGCTGCTGTGGCAATGATACAGAACTGAGGGACTAGGCCTAGCAACCAGAGGCTTCAACCTCAAAACTATCAGACTGAAGACTCAAGTGGCAAGAGGGGCTCTGAGCTCCTTGTAAACCCCTCTATTATAACACCGAGATTCCCCATCTGCCGTGGGTTTCAGAATTCTCCTCTGGCACTTACATAACCCCAGTCATCTGCATTAGAGCAGTCCCACGATCCATATGCTATCACTCAGTGAGGTCAGTTTTGCAATCCCCGTTTCATCAAAGGGTATGGGGCCACAGTAGATTTAAGCAATTTGCTCATAGAATTTGGAAATCATACAACAAGGTCTGTATCAGTTGCCAGAACCCCCATGGATTCCACCATACTAAGCTGCCCTTGAGTTGAGAGATCAAATCAACTTAAAATAATGTCAAAATAGTGGAGGCTTTTTAAGACTACTTTTTAAGTTCACTAAAGAGCAGACAAGGTGATGAGCACTAAATAGAGAGCTCTGTACTTCACAACAAAGAAGATATTTAAAAGTCCTGAATTGCACAGGACTTGGGATCTGAGATCCCAGTGCAGCCCTGGTACCCTCTAGTGGAAGTTTCCTGCATCAACACACATCCATTTACCTCAAAATTAAAGAATGCTGTGTTGGGTAAAGCATGTTTGGATGTTGGAGGTCTGTGGGTTTGGAGGACGGAGTACAAGCTAGAGGAGATGTGTGCCAAGCACCAGATTCACACAAGACCCACAAAAGAGTCATGCTGGTACATGATCCAGGGATCCGGTCTCTGTGTGTTATAAATAGAGAGATCACTTAGGAATCTGGGTTTTTAGGATGCATGAGAGAGACCCCTGCCCCTTTTACTAAGGACAAGTTTGTGATCAGAGATGTAAAGTGACTCGTGTAAGGCCACAGGACAAATGGAAGCCAGCACCAGTGGGGCCGTGTTTCCTTTGTCCTTAGAGAGCTTTCTCGCCGTGTCACACTTATTGATGGGTTGACTCTACCTGTAACTTGAGCTTATAAAGATATGAAGCTTGGAGATATAAGCAAGGACAGTTCTTACCTTCATCTGCCCACAAGTCATGAATTTCCCACTCTTTCATTTAGTGCCTATTATTGCCAAACCCCAGTTTAGGCTCTGCCTTTCCAGCCTGTGGACCCTGGGAAGGGAGGAGCTCCTAGGCTTGTGGAATGCCTACTGCCACAAGGGCACATCTGGAGTTTCCTCCTCACATTCCCAAGCACGAAGGCGCCGAGATTTATTTCTCTTTCCCTCTCCCTTCCCCTCCCCCTAGAAGTAATCCCTGAGAATAGAAGTGGGTTAGAAACAGATTACTCTGATCCAAAGGCTCTGCCCTCTCCTCCCTAAACACTGTGTGGGGTGGGGTGGAGGAGGTAGGGAGTCACAGATAGCCTGAAATTCCCTTTTAGGATTACTGCTTGATTTAGCCAGTTGGGAGAAAGTGGAGCAAGGCAAGGCGAGGGATTAATTCTAGACCTCACTCTCTCCAGCAGCAGGATGCATGGGCTGGCTTCTTTCCTGGCTGAGCCAGGATGAATACCTCTCCCTAAACATGCCTTCAGAATGGGGAATCTAGGGCAAGCACAAAGGCAAAGGCTCTGTCTGCAGCAGCAGAGGAAAGGGGAATGGTGGATGAGAAAGAAAGACAGCCCTGAGAAGAGTTCTGCAGTGCAACATAAGGAATCACTCTGGGCCATGGAAACTTCCTGTGTTTCTGTGGTTTGGCTTCAGCAGAGAGGAGGACTGCATGTTAGAGCTCCCTGAGGAGTCAGCTCCTGTCTTGCCTGGAGATTTCCTGTGTAGGGGCACTGCACTGGGGTAGTTCCCTAGGGCAGGGTGTCCCTCTTCTGTGCCCAGCATAAGAGGCAGCTACACTTCTTAGCATCCTACTTGATTCCCCATATAGATCCTTTCCTAGGATAACAGCAGGCTGGAGGCTGGAGGAGCCCTAACTAACCAGAGTGGAACTCATTTGATTTTAATGAATTAATAAATTCTGTAATTTACGTATCGGATTACCACAATTGTACAGATGAGAATCAGGGGTGGCCAAGAAGCGGCATCAAGCACTATCAAATTCCTAAGCGCTGGTGAGAACCACGGGGCGTTGCCCTGGGTGACAAAGCACTGCCGATGTTGTTAACTAAGATGAGTTGGGAGTGTTTGCTAGGAGCCACCATTCGTGTTTCCTCTGTGGCACCTGGCCTTGGCCAAGTCACTTCCCTCTCCTGTGTGCTCTCACCTTAAGTCAGGGAAGCACAATGTAAATGCTTGCCAAGCCAGCTATTACTTGTAATAATCCATGTATCATTGTGTTTAGAATCAGATTTTCCCAATTTTCAGAAAAATGTTCCTGTTCAAATTTGTTCTTCTCTTCTAGATGTAGGTCACTCAGAGAATTTCAGAACTTCCCATCTTTTTTTTTATTTTAAGATTTTATTTATTTATTATGTATACACACTCTGCCTCCATGTATGCCTGCAGGCCAGAAGAGGGCACCCAATGTCATTATAGATGATTGTGAGCCACCATGTAGTTGCTGGGAATTGAACTCAAGACCTGCAGAAGAGCAGCCAGTATTCTTAACCTTTGAACCATCTCTCCAGCTCCAGAACTTCTAATCTTTAAAAACCAAAGGCGGAGCCAGGTATGGTGGCGCACACCTTTGATCCCAGCACTTAGGAGGCAGAGGCAGGTGGTCCTCTGAGTTGGAGGCCAGCCTGGACAGCTAGGGCTTCACCGAGAAACCCTGGAGTTATGATGCTGGTAAGACACCATGTGGGGTGCTGAGAATATGGGTCCTATGCAAGAGAAGCCAGAGCTCCTAATCAGTGCTCAGCTTTTTATGGGTTCAGGGGATTCAAACTCAGGTCCCCATGATTACGGTAATAACTTCCTCCTTAAGACAGGGTCTCATATAACCCGAAATCACTACGTAGCCAAGATGACTTTAAATTTCTTTTTTCTTTTTCTTTTTTTAGATTTATTTATTTATTATGTGTACAGTGTTCTGCCTGCATGTAAACTTGTCTACTAGAAGAGGGCACCAGATGTGGTTATAGATGGTTGTGAGCCACCATGTGGTTACTGTGACATGAACTCAGGTCCTCTGGAAGAGCATCCAGTGCTCTTAACTGCTGAGCCATCTCTCCAGTTGCCCATAGGTTTCTTTTTTTTAAATCATTTTTAATTATGTGTATGTGTGTTAGTGTACCTATGTGTGTGTGGGTGCCTTCAGAGAACAGGCGGATTGTGTCCCCCTTGAGTTGCAGGCAGTTGCAAGTCTGCTGATATGGTGCTGTGAATCAAACTCAGATCGTCCACAAGAGCAGTACATGTTCTTAACCACTGAGCTGTGTCTCCAGCCTCTGTAAGCTTCAATCTTGATGTTATCTGTCACTGGGAGGGCAAAACACACACATAACTGCCCTGTCACTAGCAAGGAGACCTATTCTCTTTAGGCCTGTGATAGTTTGAATGTAATTGACCCTCATAAACTCAGGGAGTGGCACTATTAGGAGGTGTGGCTTTGTTGGAGTAGCTATGGCCTTGTTGGAGGAAGTCTGTCATTGTGGGGTGGGCGATGAGGTCTCATATGTGCTCAAGCCTCGTATCTCAGACCACTCTCTACTCCCTCCCCAGCACCATATCTGCCTACACACCATCATGTCCCACCATGATGATAATGGACTGAACCTCTGAACCAAAAGCCACCCAATGAAGTGTTTTGCTTTATAGAGTTGCTGTGGTCATGGTCATGGTTTCTCTTCACCACAATAACTAAGGCAAGGCCCCATTTGAAAGTTTCACTAGGACAAACATGGATTCCAGGAACACCTTGTGTGTTGACAGAAATGGGGAAGACACTTCTGCCTCATAGTGTTTCCTTTTCACCATTGTTGAAGAGATTTGTTTTAGTTTTATGTAGATAAGTGCCTGTCTGAATGTTTTCTATACACTCCACCACCACATGCATGTAGTGCCCTCAGGAGCCAGTAGAGGGCATCAGATCCCCCTGGAATTAAGAATGATCGGGGATGTGACTCCTATGTGAGTGCTGGGACCTGAACTTGGGTCCTCTGAAAAAACAACAAAGGCTCTTAACCCCTGAGCCATCTTTTTAGCCTCATTTCCTTTTCTCTTTTTTGAACAAATGACAAAGACTTGGTTTACCAGCTTTTTAAAACCAAAACTTAATTGTACCTATTTATTTATTTATTTTGTTTTGTTTATTTATTTATTGTGGGAGGGGGTTGTGAGACAGTGTTTCTCTGTGTTTCCCTGGCTGTCTTGGAACTTGCTCTGGAGACCAGGCTGGCCTCAAACTCAGAGATCTGCCTGCCTTTGCCTCTCATGTGCTTGAATCAAAGGCATGTGCCTCTACTGCCTAGTCCAACATTATATATTTGAATAGTTGTAAAACTGGTGAAGGTGACAGCATTTGTGCACAATTAGAAAACATATGAATTGAAGAAAAAAAGACGGAAATATTTCTGTAGAAAGCTTATCATGTCATAAAAACATGGAATGCTTCATGAATTTGCATGCCATCCTGCGCAGAGACCATGCTAATCTTCTCTGTATCATTCCAATTTCGATGTATGTGCTGCTGAAGGGATCTTGACGAAAAATCCTTTTTATCTTGCATTCTGAGAAATGCAAACTGTTAGTGTTGGAGGATTAAGAAATATCCTTCAGTGTTACCAGTAGACAGCCGGCAGTTAGCCTTGGACTTAATGAGGAAGAAGGATAATACAAATTTTCCAAGACAGCTAATCAAAAGCAACAATGATCACCTTTAATGAACTAAACCATACCGACTACTCTTATTTTATTCAGGCTGATATGGAATTAGTTTGCAGTATCTGAGAAATTGACCAGAGGTTAGGCAGAAATGACTTAGGATGTGTTATCTACTCCATGTGGCCAAAATAAAACTTGACAAAAGAGCAGAGTATAAAAAGGATTATAGCTGGGCGTTGGTGGCTCACGCCTTTAATCCCAGCACTCCGGAGGCAGAGGCAGGCGGATCTCTGTGAGTTCGAGGCCAGCCTGGTCTACTGAGTGAGTTCCAGGACAACCTCCAAAACAATACAGAGAAACCCTGTCTCAAAAAACCAAAAAAAAAAAAAAAAAAGGAGTATAACAATATTCTGTAATAATCAATAGTCACTCCTCCATGGAGATTTTCTCACTTTGTCAGGTGTACCAAATTTAAAAAAATGTTTTATTTTTATAATGCATAGAGTAGGTGGATAGAAGTCTGTTAAGGAGTATGAGACATCTGTGGCCAGGCATGATGGAACACACCTTTAATGTCAGCACTTTTTTTAAAGATTTATTTATTTATTATGAATACAATCTTGCCTCGTGTATGTCTGCACTCCAGAAGAGAGCACCAGATCTCATTACAGGTGGTTGTGAGCCACCATGTGGTTGCTGGGAATTGAACTCAGGACCTCTGGAAGAGCAGCCAGTGCTCTTTACAACTCTGTGCCATCACTCCAGCCCTAATGTCAGCACTTATCAGGCAGAAGCAGGAGTAATCTCTGTGAGTTTGAGATCAGCCTAGTATAGAGAGTTCCAGGCCAGCCAGAGCAACACAGCGAGACTCCGTCTCAAAAACAAAACAAAACACCAATAATAATAATAATAAGTAAAAGAACCCGGCAATGGTGGTGCATGCCTTTAATCCCAGCACATGGGAGGCAGAGACAGGTGAATTTACAATGAGTGCTAAGACTAAAAATTTGAGGAAATTCTTACCCTTGAAGACATTTCAAGTTCCAGGACAGCCAGGGTACCACAGAGAAACCTTGTCTCAAAAACACAAATGTTTCAAAGGGTGATCATGGTGCAGTACACCTGTAATCCCAGCACTTGGGAGATAGAAACAAAAAGATGAGGTATGGTTCACGGTCATCCTAGCTACATATTGAGTTAACAAAAATTAGAAGTTACCATCTGAAACGATACCTGTGATTTCTGAACGTTTGGAATTTCTCAGTCCCTCTGATAACAGCTCTTAGCACTTTAAGCTGTCAGCAAGTTGGTTTTAACTTGAAAGCTCTTATATGCACAGACCATAACTCCTAATCTATAGAAAAATGTTGTAGACAAATGCTCAATTGATAGTAATCTACAGAATATGAAAATCAAAAATATGGATAGTATTTGTTCTTCAGAACTGTTTATGGTACTGGATGTTCCAGGATAGCCTGAACATCACATAACTATGAAGCAGCTTTGGAGTTATTATACTCCATGAGTCCGATTTTCAGTTCTGAAGCTATTAGTTGTCTCAACTTAAATTACATACTTAATATCGCTGGCCCAACCACATATGTAAAATAGAAATATTCCTGCTTTTTGTGGTGAGGATTACGTTGATGTATGTAAAATGCTTAGATTGGCAGGTGCCTAGTAATCAATTTTGAAATACGAGCTGTTGGATTTTTTTTTTATGACAAAAAAAAAAAAAGATTGTCAACCCACGTGCCGTTTGCTTTTCAGTAACCACAGCGGCCAGTTTCCCTAATGGAACTGGAAGAAAGAATCCTCACGTAGAAAACTAGGTGGGGCTCAGGTTTAAGGTTATACTGCATTTTGCGGTCAGATACTCACCCAGAAACTATCATTTTCACCCTAAATACCTCCAGTGTATTCCAAGCAATGGAAGAAAACACTAATCTCAAAGTCCTCTGATTTCAGAGGGAAACACTTTTTTTTTTTTTTTTTTTACGAAATAGCAAACAAGGTGTAACAATGTGCTAAGCAACCAGGAATGCAGCAACCCAGTGCTCCAACAGAAAACCTCATACGCAGGCGCAGTTGGCTCTCCGCCGGACTCCGGCTGGCGCGTGACAGCCCTGCGGTTTACCCTACTTCCAAAGTGGTCTCACTGCGCACGCGCAGCCACATTGCCCTCCCGCCCCCGCCCCACACGAGAGCGTGCGCGTGCGCGCGGCTCACCTTTCGGCCGAGGGCGCGCGCCCTGGAAAATTCCACTCCCGAGCCCGCGCCTCCCAATGCGCCTTTTCTCCAGCTCAGTGCTCTGCGGCTCAACCGGCATCCCGGCGGCCTTTGCGTGAACAAAATGGCAGCCCCCATACCTCGGGGCTTGTCCTGCTTGACCAAGGCTTTGGGATGGTGGTCTCGGCAGGTGGGTAGGGACGAGGCGAACGAAATTTTAGAGGCAGAAGGAGGAGGACAGAGTAGAAGGGAGTAATCGTACAGTGGCCGTAGACGAACTTGGACGATACGAGTCCGACTTCGTCTGGGGAAGAATTCGAAGTGTATGTGATCCCTCTACGCCTCTCCAGTGGCTCTGTGAAGACAACCTGGGCGGGGCCTTGGGGACGATTTAAGTTTGCTGACATTATGCTTCTCCGCATTAGTTCTAGTCTCTTTGGCGAGATGTTAAAAGGAAACAAATAGTGGCTTCTTTTACATTCTTAAAAAAATTGCCAAGGATAGAGGTACATGGTAGGCTTTGTCTTAGTTTGGAACGAAACTCCTGATCGGAGGGAAAAGGTCACCTGGCTTCGCAAAGGTTTATTGGCCAGTTAGGAGCTCGAAGAACAGGATGAAGACAATGAGACACTGCCTGGGTCGAAAAAGCAAAATAGAAATGTGGAGGAAATGCGCACGAGATCTCGCTTAATGCTTTAATAACAGCATTTCACTCCTCAGTATTGTGTTTGAACTAAGGTTCACCATCAAGCTAAAGGTCTTTGATGGTAGGACTTTTGCTTTAATTATGTTCAAATAAAGCAGTCTACAGAATGTATTAAAGCAAAGCTTTTAGAAAGTGTTGACTGATGTTAATAAAGGTTATTGAATGACTTGTGGTAAGGGACACCTCTAGGTGTTCAAGTAGTAATGTCGTTTCTTCACAGCAGTTGTTTCATAACTTCTCCTGAAGCACTATTTGGATATGTCCTTTCTGTAAGACTCTGCATACAGTTTGCTCAAGATAGTTTTCTTTCCAAATCACTTCTTTGCTAACCTTTCCTTTTCCTCCCAGCCCATTCTGGTGACTCAATTCCCAGCTGTAGTTCCGGTAAAAACCAAAAGCCGTTTCAGACCCCTTCCTCGTGAACCCAAGTACAAAACAGAGAAGGAGTTTTTGGAATATGCCAGGAAAGCAGGATTGGTTATTCCTCCAGAAAAACTGGAGCGTCCTATACATCTGGCCTGTACAGGTGAGTAACAATATTTCTGGGCACCGTACTCAATGCCTCTGCTGTCAGATATCTGGTGCTTGGAATGCCTTAGACTCTGATTGACAGCATTAAAATCCCCCCCCTTTTATTTATTTTTTTGGAGACAGTTTCTCTGTGTAGTCTTAGCTGTCCTAGAACTCTCTCTGTAGACCAGGCTATCTTCAAACTTCTGATCCACATGCCTCTGCCTCCCAAATGTTGGAATTAAAGGTCTTTGCCACCACCACTGACGACATTGTTAAATTAACCACTAAGTTTATATATACTATAGTTCATAAAGTCAGTTTTATTTTGTTTTTACAGTACTTGGGATTAAATATAGGGCTTCATACATGCTAACCAAACACTCCATTACTGAGTCAGATCCATAGTCCCCCTTTCTTTTTGCCTTTGAGACAGAATCTCTCTAAGTTTGTCAGAGTAGACTAGAACTTGTGATCCTCCTGCCTAAGTATAATTGGAGACTAAAGGCTGCAATACCAGACCTGTTTATGAGGTCATCTTTTTTTGGGGGGGGGCAGAGGCTCGACATAGGGTTTTTGTAGACCAGGTTGGTCTCCAAGCTCATAGAAATCCACCTGCTTCTTCCTCCCGAGTGCTGGGATTAAAGGCGTGGACCACCACCTGGCTCTGAGGTCATCTTTTGATCTTGTTTTCACAATTTCTAGAAAGAATGAAAGTTCTCCAGTTTGTAGAAGTGGAACAAACTCTAGAAGGAATTGTTATCCTTTTTTTTTTCCTTTTCTAAATATAACAAAAGATGTCCTAGTAGTGCAAACAGCTAGTTCCTGGTACTTACGCAGGTATAACTAAGTTTCCTCTATGTGCAAGTCTGATTAGGCCACTTAATATCCTGTGTCCTTCCCAGGTTTATCTGACCTCAAGATGATGTTTTCTCAGTCTTTCAACAGTTTCTTGATTTTCTTCTCTCCTTACAGCTGGTATATTTGATCCCTATGTTCCACCTGAAGGTGATGCTCGAATGTCATCCCTTTCAAAGGAAGGACTGACACAGAGAACTGAGCGATTCAGAAAGAATGTGGCATCACAGTTGGCGTAGGTATCAGAGACACCTAGGGTTCAATATTCTAGACTGAGAAGACTGATATTTTATCCTTATTGTGTTATATGGTATATTACATTGATTTCCTTCTCTCTCTTTATTTCTATGTGTTTGCTTTCATGTATGTGTACCAGAGAAACCATGTCTTGAAAAAAACAAGCTGGATAATGGTGGTGCACCCCTTCAGTCCCAGCACTCTGGAGGCAGAGGCAGATGGATCTGTGAGTTTCAGGACAGCCATGGCTACACAGAGACACCCTGTCTCAAAAAAGAAAGAAACAAACAAAAACCAGTCACCTGCATTTTTTGTTTGTGTTTGTTTTTTCAAGACAGGGTTTCTCTGTGTAGCAGCCCTGGCTGTCCTGGAACTCTCTCTGTAGAATAGGCTGGCCTCAAACTCAGAGATCCACCTGCCTCTGCCTCCCCAGTGCTGGATTAAAGGCGTGATGAGCCACCAGGACTGGCCTTTTCTTTGTTTTCAGTGTTGCTACTTAGAAGCTCTCTGTTGTCTGGCTCTTATCTGGCTTTGGTCCTCTTTGGTGCTGCAGAGCTGGAGATTGAACCAGGACCTTGCACGTGTTGGACGTGCGCTCTACTACTAAATTGAACCTCCAGCCCTTTTTGTTTGTTTGTTTGTTTGTTTGTTTGTTTTTACGAGACAGGGTTTCTCTGTATTGTTTTGGAGGCTGTTGGACCAGCCCGGCCTCAAACTCACAGAGATCCGCCTGCTTCTGCCTCCCAAATGCTGGGATTAAAGGCGTGTGCCACCACCGCCTGGCTTTTTTTTTGTGTGTGTGAACCTCCAGCCCTTACACACACACACACACACACACACACACACACACACACACACACACACACACACACACAGAGTATTTGAGATGTAGAAGTTTTCTTAAATCCTAGAATCCTAAAATTTCACTTTGAAAACACTTTTTTTTTCTTTAAGGTTTACTTAAATTATGTGTATGTGTTTATAAGTGGGTGTGTGCCAAGCGAGTGCTGATACAGTGTTGGGTGCCCCTGGAGCTGGAGTTAGAGGCAGTTATGAGAGGCATGATACATGATATGGGTCTGGGAACCAAACCTAATTCCTCTGTAAATCACTATGCTCCCTTAGCCTCTGAGCTGCTTCTCCAGACCGAGGAAAACTTGATCCTTTTCTTTGTTTTGAGACAGAATCTTCTATAGTTCTGACTGTGCTGGAACTCCTAGGTAGACCAGGCTGGCCTCACACTCCCTGAGAGCCACCTGTCTCTGCCTCCTGTCTTAAAGGTGTATATCACCCACTTACCACTGATCCTGGTCTGCTTGTTCTTTCTTTACAATGGTTGACTTGAGAGAGACTTGAATTTACAGTCTTTTCTTTTTCTTCTTTCTTTCCTTTTTTGGTTTTTCAAGGCAGGATTCTCTTTGGAGGCTGTCCTGGAACTAGCTCTTTGTAGAACAGGCTGGTCTCAAACTCACAGAGATCCCCCTGGCTCTGCATCCCGAGTGCTGGGGTTAAAGGGGTGCGCCACCACCATGGGTCTAAATTTACAGTCTTTTTGCAGTCAAAAAATAATTATTAACTGGGTAGGTGGACCTGGAGATTAATGGGAACTTTGAGTTCTGGAAATTACGTGGGGATTTGGTAGTTTTATTGCAGGTTATTTATTTGTTAGTTGATGTGCACTTGCTGGCTCATCCCACAGCACAGGCATGGAGGTCAGGACAGCTTGTGGGAGTCAGTCCTCTCCTGCTACCATGTGAGTCCCCAGATTGAACTCAGGTTGTTACGATTGGTGATGTGTCGCACCTGCTGTGCGGCCTGCATCCGAGAATGTAGTGAGGTGGTCGGGATAGATGACACAGAGACCGGTCGGTTGCTTTAAGAAAACTTTATGCTTCCCAAGTCAGCTTTTGCCATCCATTTACATACCATTCTTTCCAGACTTCTCACCCTCCTGGCTGGTGGTTTAATCTCCGGCCCCAGAATCAGGGAGACACGGGGGGGGACGGGGATGACGACGGGACGGGACAGGAAGAGGCATCTAGCCATAGGGGGTGTGAAAGTCATGGTATCTCAGTGAGCAAGCCCTTATCTGAGCCCTATCAAGAGCTTTAAAGCACTGAATTGTTTTCAGTAAACATTACACAGATGCCTGCTCCCAGTCCGAAGGGGAAGTGGGTTTCTGCTCAAGGTCTGGTGTCCCCACAATTCACCCCTTTTTATTTTTAAATGAGGCACTCCTGTCTTAGGTCAAGTAGGGTCACCCTCCCCTGGCCCATCTTTGGGGGACCTTGAACCCCTGTCTTAGGTGGGAGTGGGTCTTCCCCACAGGTTGCTCGTCAAAAGAGCGCCCCAACCTTTTTTTTTTTGTTTTGTTTTTTTTGTTTTTTCGAGACAGAGTTTCTCTGTGGCTTTGGAGGCTGTCCTGGAACTCGCTCTGTAGACCATGTTGGCCTCGAACTCACAGAGATCCGCCTGCCTCTGCCTCCCGAGTGCTAGGATTAAAGGCGTGCGCCACCAACGCCCGGCTGAGCGCCCCAACCTTAAAATCATTTGTAATAAGGCTTTATGGCTATCGGGATTGCCATGGGCTAAGGCACTTTGAACTCAGCATGAAGCCAGAATGCCTACTGCCACTGTTACCATTCCTAGGACCCCCACTGACATAGCGCCTCTCTGTCACCTGCCCATCCCCCGATCTGGGCCTTAGCATTCTACCACCAGCCTTTCTTTGCTACAAGGGTGATTTATAGTTACAATTTGACGGTCAAAACAGTGATAAAGTTTACAATCATTTTAAGATCTACTTAGGAAAGCATTAGAGAGTGCACTTGCACAGATACATTAGGTACAATCATTGATGTTACACATGTAGCATTATAAAAAATATGAACAAGAGGCTTGTTGCACTATTTACAGAGTACCAATTTGTTCCTGTGGTGATGTAGTCTGTAGATTTAATGTCAGTAGTATCAGATGAACATGCAACCCGAGTCAAAGTCTTTTTGTCGTACCAGGACAAACCACATTTCTCCAGAAGAACACACTGGCATAGGTGTGATTCCAGAAACAGGAACTACCAAGTCTGATATTTCAAGTGACCATGTCCTGTTCAAATACTGAAAAGAGGCTTTTGCCACTCATCACAGTCCATACCAATGTCCAAATGTTTTAAATGGGTCTTTTTTCCCCCAAAGGGAAAAGCTGGCAAAATGAATTCTGTTGTTTTAAGGTGTATCAAAGGCTAGCTGCTAATCTTCCAGTTTTGTTGGCTTTGGGATGAAAACTCACGGGTCCAGGAGGTTGATGTAGCAAGCCTGATGAGACACTGGAAATCTCGAACTGACTGTTTTATTTCTTTCTCGGGCTGTAGATTTGATGACATCAAGGGTCAGGAACACGGATTTAGGAGATCTCGAACTGGCTTGAGCAGGCTCCCATGGTCTCAGGTCCAGTTTTCTCTGCTCCATGTATCTCACCAAATGTTGTGACAGCTACTGAAGCTTTATTCTTTTCCTGTAAGAAAACACAAACATGCCCTCGACCCCAAATTAGGGTCTACTCTACTGTCTAGTGTATGGATGTTTTCATTTGGCCTGAGTAATAGTTGTTTAACTTTCATTATGTCAGAATCTGTCTGAAGCAGATTCCTCACTGGCATTTACATTTTAAAAATTTTTAAATGAGGAGTGGATTATTTTACATGCTGTGGCATTATCTTTATGATGATTTTCATCTTAATTTTACAGAGTTCGAAAGATAAAAGAATTTGATGCTAATTTTAAAACGAAAGACTTCCCTGAAAAAGCTAAGGATATTTTCATCGAAGCTCACCTTTGTCTAAACAAGTAAGTGAACTCATCGTCTTGCATATCCTCAGTAGTAACTGAAGCTGCTTTTTCTTTTCTCCCTGCTTTTCTAGTAGTTTGGTGTTGTTTGAGACAATGCCTCTCTATGTAGACTTGGCTGTCCTGGAACTCTATGTAGACCAGGCTGGCACCAAACTCACAGAGATCTGCCTACCTCTGCCTCCTGAGTCCTGGGACTAAAGGCGTGCGCCACCAATGCCCGACCATTTTTGAAATTTTTGTTCTTTGTAATTTTTTTTTTGTTCCTGTCTTTTGTCCTATTATGGATTGAACCAAGGGGCCTAATTCTAGTTAACCAGGTATTTTGTATCTGAGCTACACTCTGCCCCCAAGTCTGGAATAGAGTTAAGGACTAATCCTTGGATTCTTGTCGATTTTTTGTTTTTCTCTTTTTTTGGGGGGGCATTGTTTATATGAGAGAAAGGAAAGAGAAAAGGAGACGGGAAGAGAGCTTCATCTGGACTGTTTGGTGCCTTTGGAGCTTAAACCTGGGCCTTGTGCATACAAGACAGGTTCTCTATCCCTGCACCTTTAGGTATCTGTTTTGGGCTTTTTTTGTTGTTGTTTTATTTTTTCGAGACAGGGTTTCTCTGTATTGTTTTGGAGGCTGTCCTGGAACTCGCTCTGTAGACCAGGCTGGCCTCAAACTCACAAAGATCCGCCTGCCTCTGCCTTCCAGTGCTGGGACTAAAGGCGTGCGCCACCAATACCCGGCTTAGGTATCTGTTTTTTCAACCTCTTTATTTTTTGTCATCCAACCTTGGGTTTTCTTTCTTTTTTTTTAAATAAAGATATATTCATTTATTATGCATAGTATTCTGCTTCATGTCAGAAGAGGGCACCAGATCCCATTACAGATGGTTGTGAGCCACAATGTGGACCTCTGGAGGAGCAGTCAATGCTCTTAACCTTTGAGCCATCTCTCCAGCCCCAATAAGGAACTTTTTATTCTTGCATGGCATTTGGACTTTGTTCCCTATGCCAGAATCAGCTACATGTCTTAGTGAATATTCTTGCCCACCTATAAGATGTGATTTCAGAGAAACTTCTTTGTCTTCCAGAAACACAAACTATTAAATGCTATTAAATGTCAAGGTTTTGTGGTAGATCAAAAATTAGTATATCGCTGGGTGTTGGTGGCGCACGCCTTTAGTCCCAGCACTGGAAGGCAGAGGCAGGTGGATCTCTCTGAGTTCGAGACCAGCCTGGTCTACAGAGTGAGTTCCAAGACAACCTCAAAAACAATACAGAGAAACCCTGTCTTGAAAAACAAAAAAAACAAGCCGGGCGTTGGTGGCGCACGCCTTTAATCCCAGCACTCGGGAGGCAGAAACAGGCAGATCTCTGTGAGTTCGAGGCCAGCCTGGTCTACAGAGCGAGTTCCAGGACAGCCTCCAAAGCCACAGAGAAACCCTGTCTCGAAAAACCAAAAAAGAAAAACAAAAAAGAAACAAAAACAAAAACAAATTAGTATATCATGTGGCTTATAGTGCATATGCAGAAAACATTTGTATAAATTAACTGTTTTTTAGCTTCAGGACCATATTCAACTTACAAAACAAAACTCTTTTTGCTGGAAGGTGGTAGCATATGCCTTCAATCCCAGCACTTAAGAGGCAGAGACAGGTAATCTCTGTGAGTTCTAGGATAGCCTGGTCTACAGAGTGAATTCCAGGACAGCCAGGACTACACAGAGACCCTTTCTTGGGGGGACAGACTTTTTTCTATTATTATACTTTGTTTTGTATGTATATAAAAGGAAACACACATACCATGACTTGTGTCTGGAGTCAGTACTTCTCATGTGGGTTCTGGGGATTGAATTTATCAAGTCAGGCTTTGTGGTAAGTAAGCCCTTACCCACAGAGCCATCTTCCCAGCACATTTTCAGATTTCATAATGTGTTCCATAAAAGTAGGAATCAATGATACATATCTCTTTTCCTTTTCTAGCTCAGACCATGACCGGCTTCATACCTTGGTAACTGAACACTGTTTTCCGGTAGGTTCCTATCCTTAGAATGGTGGCATACCTGAGCAGGCAGAGTTAGAAGTCAGCTCTGATTTTGTTATTGCTGTTGTGTCTCTTCTTTCTTTCTTTCTCTCTCTTTTTGGGGGTGGGGTGGGGTCTTACTATGTAGCTCAGGTTACCAATTCGCAGTCTTTGGGTATCAGCCTCCCTAATGCTCAAATTACGTCCACTACTCTGGCTTTGGAACTTTATTTCCTTCCCCTTTTTTTGTCCTTTCTTTTTTTTAATGTATTTTCTTCTTTATTTATTTTCATGTACATTGGTGTTTTGCCTGCATGTATGTCTGTGTGAAGGTGCCAGATCAAAACTGAAGTTACAGACAGTTGTGAGCTGCTGCATGAGTGTTGGGAATTGAACTGGCATTTTCTGGAAGAGCAGCCAATGCTCTTTTTTTTTTTTTTTAAGAAGTGATGTGGTCAGAATGTTTTTTTTTTTTATTACATATACAGTGTTCTGCCAGAAGAGGGCACCAGATTGAATTATAGATGGTTGTGAGCCACCATGTGGTTGCTGGGAATAGAACTCAGGACCCCTGGAAGAGTAGTCAGTGCTCTTAACCTCTGAGCCATCTCTCCAGCCCCGAGCAGCCAATGCTCTTAACCACGGAGCTGTCTCAGCCCAAGGCCTTTATCTTCAGCCAAAGGATAATGACTTGGCACAGACTGAGGAGGCACACGGCAGATGAGGAAAGAGAAACGCCTGGAGTCTAGTGTGTAGATCCTGAGGTTGAGAGTTAACCGTGTGAGGCTTCACGTCATGTGTCTACCCTATGGTAAAGGTTTTAACCAAAATTCATGAAGCTTATGTTAGAAAGTAGCAGGGGTGCCTGGTACTTTGAGGAACCCCCAAGGACAGAGGCTTTGAATTTGTAGTTCAGCTGGAGGCTCTAGAATAAGAACTTCACTTTCTAGAAATTCAGTTTCTGTTTCTGTCAGCCTCCCCAAGAACAAGTGTACCTCATCTGTTGTAGTCCTGACAGCTCTGGAAAACACTCCCTTTCACTGCTGAAATGGGAGGGGGTAAAGATAACAGAGAAAGAGTGTACTACCAATAGAGTACTTGCAGTAATTAGCAGGTTATGAGCGTGTGTGGGAGGCACTGGTGTGAGCAGTGCTGTGTGGGGTAGTGGTGGTATGCAGTGGTTTCAGTGATTTGGAGAATGGTGGGTGGGCCATTTTTTTTTTTTTTTTTTGTATATTTTGCTATGGGTGTTGGGTCCCTTGGAACTAGAGTTACAGACAGTTGTGAGCTTTTGTGTGGGTGTTGGGAATTGAGCACAGGTCTTCTGGAAAACCAGTCAGTGCTCTTAACTACTGAGCCATCTCTTCAGTCCCAGTGGGTGCGTCTTGAGGAGTGGTTTAATAAAAATGTAGTTGGGAGGCAAGCATGACCAGTAGCTTGATCAAAACTTGGGAAGTACTGGCTGGTGGTGGTGGTGGTGGTGGTGGTGGTGGTGGCGGTGGCGGTGATGCACACCTTTAATCCCAGTTCTTGAGAGGCAGGGACAGACAGATCTCTGTGGGTTTGAGGCTAGCTTGGTCTATAAAGTGAGTTTCAGGACATTCAAGGCTGCACAGAGAAACCCTGTCTCAAAAACATAAAAATAAATAACATAAAAACTTGGGAAGAGCTGGGCGATGGTGGCGCACACCTTTAATCCCAGCACTCAGGAGGCAGAGGCAGGCGGATCTCTGGAGTTCAAGGCCAGACTGGTCTACCGAGCAGGGACATAGTGGCTTTTATATGTAATTCTAGCACTTGAAAGATTGAATCAGCATTACTGCCTGGGTTAAAGTGAGTCGTGTCTCTACTGCCATCACCGCCCCTGAAACTGGGAGGAAGAATGAACTGCACTGTCTGCTGATTACCGTGTAGCAGTTGTGGTCTCAGCAATACCTTCCACAGAATTGTTCCCTTTCTCTTGTGTCCTCAGGACATGGTCTGGGACCTCAAGTACAAGACCGTCCGCTGGAGCTTTGTGGAATCCTTAGAGCCAGCCCAAGTGGTTCATGTTCGTTGTTCAGGCCTGGTGAACCAGAGCAACATATATGGCCAGGTCACCGTACGCCTGCACACTCGGCAGGTAGAGTCACTGTTTTCTTCACTCCATGTTAAGTACTTTAAAAATAACCTCAGAGACGCCAAAATGCATCAGTGTTGCTTTAAGGAATGAAATCTCAGACTTCCTCTTGGAGTAGTTTGACCAGGAGTGAGCCCACACTTGAATTCCCCACTCCTCTCTGCCTGTGTGTATTCTGTGGTTCCTGGCCTATCCACTGTCTGTCTCTTGAATGTGTGCCTGCCTGGATGCCATCTGCTGCTGCTGCCACTGTGTCTGTCCCTAACGAAGGGCTTTACTCTGTGTTTATTGAATAGCACAGAAAACAGGGTGTGGAAAGGGATGATGAGTCCTGACAGAAGTCTTCAACAGAGTTTCATGGGTGAACAAACTTTGCTGACCCTAAAGCACTCAGAAAAGTAAACAGTCCTGCAGAAATGTTATCGACATCTACAGGTTCTACAGGTTCTTTCCAGCACTTTTGGTGGATATTTGTTATGTAAAGTTGCTTTCAACTTGTTGACTGTTTCATCAAATCCTTACCACAGCACACACATACACACTACTACATACACATACACACTACTACATACACATACACGCTACTACATACACATACACACTACTCATACACATACACACTACTACATACACATACACACTACTACATACACATACACACTACTACATACACATACACACTACTACATACACATACACACTACTCAGGGTCAGGGCATGGAGGATACATAACTGTGTCTTAGACTAGGTTGTAAAAGTAGGTAACATGGGAAGTTCACATTACATTGTTCTCTTAAAGGCTAGCTAAAAGCTGAGGACACAGTAGGACAGCAGGCTAAGTCTTAAGTGACCTCAAGGGTTTTAACCGGGCTGGGGTCTCTTTGAATACAAGAGATATTTTCATTAAATCTCAATGGCAGGCATCTGTGTCTGGACTATTAGGTTCCGGGCTGTTTGTTTTTTGTTTTCTGGGGATTGAATACAGAACCTCGTGCATGCTAGAGAAATGCTCCCACCACTGGGCTCCACCCTTTGGCCCAGGACTGTAGGTTCTCAGGAAAAGTTTGTTAGTTTCTTGCGGCTTCTAAGTGTTATCTCCACTCAGATGTGGTGTGAGGGTATTACTTTTCCTCTGTTGGTTTCCCACCTTCCCTACCCATCAGAGAACCTTGAAGAGTAATACATCAGCAAGGATTAGTAAGTTCAGAATTCTGAAGTAATTTTAATTTTCATTAATTTAAAATTTTTTTGTTAAGATTGTTTTAGGCCAGGTGTTGGTGGCGCACGCCTTTAATCCCAGCACTCGGGAGGCAGAGGCAGGCGGATCTTTGTGAGTTCAAGACCAGCCTGGTCTACAAGAGCTAGTTCCAGGACAGCCTCCAAAGCCACAGAGAAACCCTGTCTCAAAAAAACCAAAAAAAAAAAAAAAAAAAAAAAAAAAAAAAGATTGTTTCCAAAATGGTTGTATGACAAAAATAAAACAGAATCCTCTGACAGGCCAGATTTTATTTCATCATTGCAGACTTTGGCCATCTATGATCGGTTTGGCCGGTTGATGTATGGACAGGAAGATGTGCCTAAGGATGTCCTGGAGTATGTGGTGTTTGAAAGACACTTGATGAACCCATATGGAAGCTGGAGAATGCATGCCAAGATTGTACCCCAATGGGCACCCCCTAAGCAGCCCATCCTCAAGGTAAGGCAGCTCGCATGCTTTGAATCTTGAGGCTGTATGTACATAGTCTTGATATCCTGAAACTCTCCTCTTGGGCTCCACCTAGTGGAGAGAAGGAATGGATGCAACGCGAGGAAAGGGGAACTTTTCCTGGTTGCTTGATGAGGGAGTGAAGCCATTCTGAGTAAACAGCAAGCTTGATTGGTAGGTAACTTCAGCCTCCTGTTCTTTTCAGACATTGATGATTCCTGGTCCTCAGCTGAACCCATGGGAGGAGTGCGAAGAGACACAAGGAGAGGCCCATAAACCTCAGCTTGCCTAATAGCATGAGTGACTCCTGAGGAGTCTGGTGGTGCGCACACCTTTAATCGCAGCACTGGGGAGGCAGAGGCAGGTGATCTCTGTGAGTTCTAGTCCAGCCTGATCTATAGAGTTCTTGAATAGCCAAAACTACACAGAGAAACCCTGTCTGGAAAACCCAAAACAAAACAAAAAAGACTCCTGAGGAGTGCCCAGGTGATGGGACTCCAAAATCATCTATACTCTGTAGGCTTCCCTTGCTCTCTCCTGCCCTGCCTGAGAGGCTGGGATGCCTAACCATGGAGCATCTTCTTAAGTCATGTTTACCTGCAGAAGTGAAATGAAAAGCAGCATGTGAGAGACAAACATGTGATACTGGACTTTTCACAGAGGAGCTGGGAGCAGACTGACAGCATTCTTTTTTTTCTAATTATAGGGCAGAAGCCAGCATTTGAAATAAAATGCTATCAAAGTGTTCTATAACGGTGTGTTCTGTACATTTTTCCTGGTTCAAACTGGGAATGGAGCAATTCTATAATGTCAGAAGTAGAAACCACTGTAGTTATGAGTGATGGCAACTTGCAGAAACTCTAGACTTGAAAGAGTATTTAGTGTTTATAAACTAGGGTATCCAGTTGTAATCCCATCACTTAGGAAGTGGAGTAAGGGGATGATCAATAGCTCAATGTTGTTTTGTTTTTTTTTTTTTTGAGACAGGGTTTCTCTGTATTGCTTTGGAAACTGTTCTGGAACTCTCTTTGAAGACCAGGCTGGCCTCCAACTCACAGAGATGTGCCTGCCTCTGCCTCTGGAGTGCTGGGATTAAAGGCATGCACCACCAACACCTGGCTCAACACCTATTTTTTGATGCTGTTCTTGAAGCATGATCTCAGGTAGCCCAGGCTGACTCTAAATCATTACATAGCTAAGGATAACATTGAGCTACTGAGCCGGGCGATGGTGGCGCACGCCTTTAATCCTAGCACTCGGGAGGCAGAGGCAGGCACATCTCTGTGAGTTGGAGGCCAGCCTGGTCTACAGAGCTAGTTCCAGGACAGCCTCCAAAACAATACAGAGAAACCCTGTCTCGAAAAACCAACCCCCCCCCAAAAAAAAAACCAAAAAAAAAAAAAAAGGTGTTGAAAAACCATGGGTGTTACACCTTTAATCCCAGCACTTGGGAGGCAGAGAGGCAGGTGGATCTCTGTTAGTCTGGTCTACAGAGTGAGTTCCAGGACAGGCTCCAAAGCTACAGGGAAACCCTGTCTTGAAAAAAGACAACAAAAAATGGTGTTACTTAATTGTATATGTATGAGTGTCCTGTCTACATTTATGTCTGTGCACTACATGTTTGCCTGGTGCCCCTGGAGGTCAGAAAAGGGAGTTGGATCCCCGGAACAACAGTTATGAATGGTTGTAAACTACCACATAGGTGTAAAGAGGTGGATCTTAGTCTTCTGCAAGAGCAACAGGCACTCTAACTATTGAGCCATTTCTCCAGCCTAGAATATTGCTTAAAAGGTCTTTTAATATGTTAACTGAGGCAGGTTTTGCTTTTTTATTTTTTATTTTTTTCAAGACAGGGTTTCTCTGTAGCTCTGGCTGTCCTAGAATTTGCTTTGTAGACCAGACTCACAGAGATCTATCTGCCTCTGCCTCCCAGGTGATGTGATTAAAGGAGTGTGACACCATGCTGAGCTTAAAATTATTTTTGATCTTATTTATTTGAGATAAGGTCTAGATCCGCTTTGCCTGGAACTTGATATATAGCCCAGGCTTGCCTTAAACTTTCAGTGGTCCTTCTGCCTCATGAATACTGGTAATATAGGTGTGAACTACCACACCCATCCTGCATTTTATTTTATTTTGGCTTTTCGAAACAGGATTTTTTTGTGCAACAGTCCTGGCTGTCCTGGAACTTGCTTTGTAGATCAGGCTGGCCTGAAACTCACTGATGTCCACCTGCCTCTGCCTTCCAAGTGCTGGAATTAAGGGTGAGGGCCACCACTGCCCAGCTCTGCATCTTATTCTTAATTATTAGATTTGTCCCCACCCCCACTGCCACCTTTTTGGCTCTGGAGATTAAATCCTTACCCTGGCTCTTCCCAGCTAGGTCAGACTACCAAGGAAGTGTACCAGCACTCAGGCAGAGACAAGTGGACCTCTGTGAGTTCAAGGCTAGCCTGGTCTGCATAGCAAGGTCCAGGACAGCCAGGGCTACATAAAAAGAAAGAAAACTGTGTTCCTCCAGGAAGTTTGAGAGAATGGAGGGGCAAGGCACGGTTGGTATTTAGAAGTAGTAGTCATTAAGATTTGGTTCTGATTTCTTGCACTTCCCAAAGACAACTGGCTGTGTCTTCCAACCCAGGGCTGAGAATGCAAATGCACCAGAGCACCAGCCAGTGTGGAGAACAGTAGCCCAGTCCCTGCTTGTCCCTTGCTCCCCCAGGGCTGTCTGGAGAGGGGTGTGGGGTTTGTGTGCTCAGTGTCCTGGGATGTCTAGGCATGACAAGCAGAATTCCAAGTGCTTGAGTTCTTCAGTCCAGTGTGAGTTCTTGTTTAAAACCAGCCTGCTGGAAATGCAGCTTAATTGGTAGAGTGTTTGCATGTGCGAGGCCCTGGGTTCAGCAGCACATACACACAGGTAAAAGGAGAGCCTAAGTTGTCATACTTACTTTTTTCTCAAGACTAAAATTTTCTTTTATCACTTAAAGTCAGAAGCAATCTGGTCTGACCATGTCTAGAGTAGGGTGAAAACAACTAGAACTGGGTCAGAAATTAGTGGCCTGACTCTGATCTCTCTGAACCTGCCCTTTGAGCAAAGCTGCACACAGGACAGGTCTTACTGGGGGAAGCTCGTGTTACTGTTTATCTATCAGTTGTTTATTTGTGTGAGAGAGTGTTTGAGTGTGAGTGTTGTGTGTGCTACAGAGGACAACTTTTGCCTTCTGATGTGGATTCTAGGAATTGAACCTGGGTCAAGTTTGCATGACAAATGCTTTTACCACTGAGCCACCTCACTGTTGAGTATGGCCCATGGAAACAGAGATATTTACTATTTACATGCTTAGGGAAGAGTGCACGGGTGGAGTACTTCAAAACGGCAATCTCATGCTGTTTGATTTCAACCCTCTGGGCTTAAAATGTACATCCCTTTGCAATTTAGCTCTCCAGGTGGGGGTTGGACACATCCTATTTGCCTGAGCCCTGGATTAAGGCAAAATAAGAAGTGCTTTGAGCCAGATGCATAGCTGGGGAGTATGAGGGAAGGGAGATAATCCCAGCAGGGTAGAGAAGCAGAGAAACAAAAAAAGCACACTTACTAGGCAAATGTTACATTGATTTTTCTCGAATTTACAAAAAACAGTGGTTCAGATAAGCTATTTCATCCCATTGTCATAGATCTGACTCAGGGATAATCCTAAATTGCAGCTAAGCAGCAGCTGCCACCAGGAAGCCAGAGGATAAGTGCAATTTTCATTTCCTCTGGGATCAAATCCAGCTGAGCAAATGGCCCCAGATGTGCAGTGCTGGCTAGGAGAATCAGGCAGGGAACATCTGCTAGCTATGATTCTGGAGACAGGCAGAGAATAAGCCAGACCACCCAAAGTTCTAGAGTGGCTACCCTAGACTTTGGAGCAGGCAGTTTTGTCATTTGTCTACTGTCCCTCTGTTGACAAAGAAAACCACCATTATAAATAAGCTGGCGCCAAGTACAGTAGCTGAGAGCGAGCATTCTTTATTGTTTTCCCGGGTGGCTACTTATAACAGTGATTGTGGAGATGGTTTTGCTCTTCCCAGCTAGACCAGAAATAGTGGGATTGCTCTGGGGTGCACAGTTGGTGAAGTCTACCTTAGCTCAGAACTTGTGGGGTAAAGTAGCCACAGCTCAGAACAACACGCTGCTGCAAATACCCAGTGCAGGAGATCTGCGTAGCTAGGAGGGCTCCGTGTGGGAATGAGGGCAGCCGGCCCCTAAAGGAGAGTAGGTGACTGTTAGTCTGTTCCCTTTTGGAAATGGAGTACTCAGCTGTTTTTTATTTTGTTTGTTTCTTTTTCCTGGGAGGCATTTGCATATAGACTCCTGGTTTGCTCACTGGGCATTTGGTTTTGGTCTCATTTGGGGTTTTCCACCTCTTAAACAGCATCTATATCAGTACCGTTAGGGGTGGGACCTACTGTTGTCTTTAATGCAGCAACTCTGCTGCTAGTCTCCCTGTCTGCACCCTGTGTCGCTCTCCCAAGTTGTTTTTCTCCTTCCTAGTTTCTCCTTCCTAGTTTCTCCCTGTGATATCTTGTAACAGCCACCCTCTGTTATCTCATGCTGCTTAAGCTAGGTAGCCTGAATGATTGTTGAGAAGAGAACCAAGACACAGGGAGCTGCTGAGAAAGAGGTTTTGTGTTTACATGGTGCCTTGCCTAGCCCTGGGGCTTCTCACTTGTCCGGGAGCGCTACTCTTTTTGAAGGTAGTAGTTGGAATTCTGACTGTGAACAAGACCTCTTCTCTTTCCCAGACTCCTCTGGGAGGAGTATAAGTGATTCAGCATGGTTCTTGCCAAGAGCCAGAGAGCTCCCCTTGGCTCTAGTTGTATTTACTAAAGGGGTCCTATTGCTGATTACAAAAAGTCTAGGAGGAGGAGGAGGCAGTGAGGTGAACAAAATGGCTAAAAAAGCCAGCAAGAGACTTGCTGAGAACATCTGGAAGGAAGACACCTTGTCCAATGTGGGGAGGACCTTGAGAAAGTGTTTTTCCTTCTCTGTTCTGTGTTGTCACGGTGGATACCAGCTGTGACATAGATGTCAGCGTGTCTGATTGTTGCCACTTCAGCCGTCAGTCAGGGCACATATGAGAAATAATAAAGCAGAAATGGGAGAGTCGAGTCAAGACAAGGCCCTTGACCTGAGGATGTGGCTTGTTAGTAGGGTGCTTATCTAGTGTTCCTGAGGACTGGGGTTCAGTTCCCAGTACCACGTATACCCACAGAAAGACAAAGGCTGGGATGAAGATATAATTCAGGTGACAGAGGGCTTGCCTAGCATGCAGGAAGCTCTGGGCTCAATTACCACCCCTGAGTACGCTGGACATGGTGATTCACCCCTGTAATTCTGGAACTCAGGTAGTGAGGCAGGAGTGTAAGGATCCAGGCATTATGCTGGCCTGCCCCTGTCACCTGGCAGAATGCATTCAGGCAGTACCCTGGTCAGTCCAGGGGCTCCATGGTCGAGTAGTCTCCACGCAGATGCAAAGGACCCCTTTAAAAGAAACCCCATCCCCACCCCTACTTACATTTTCTTTCCTGCTGTTCCCCTGGGGAAAACAGGACTTTTCCTGTCTCCTTCTTCTCTTCTGTCGTCTCTCTGTCTCTGTGTTTCTTTACCTATTTTTCTCTTTCCTTATGCTCCTTCCCTTTCTAATAAACTTCTCATTTAAGTTCTGTCTGCCTGGCATGTTTGTCCCCCGCCTCGGTCACCCTTGCCT